AGGAGAGGTTCCCACCACCACCGCTGTACTGGCAGCCATCAGCCTGGCTTGTGGCTGAGCAGAGCTCCCCCATGTGGGAGCGCACTGACCACCAGGGGGCAGCTCCTGCATTGAGCGTCTGCTCCCTGGTGGTCAGTGTGTGTCATAGTGACCAGTCATTCCCAGTCTTTCTGCTGTTAGGGTCAGTTTGCATATTACCCTTTTACTATATATGATAGAGGCCTGGTGCACGGGTGGGGGTCCCGCTTGGGTGCCTGGCCAGCCTGGGTGAGGGGCTGATGGCTGTTTTCAGGCTGGCCACACCCCCTTTAGGGTGGGGGTCCCCACTAGGGTGCCTGGCCAGTCTGGGTGAGGGGCCGAGGGCAGTTTTCAGGCTGGCCGGCGACTGAAGCTCCCAGCCTCTCCTTTTTTTCTTTTCTTTTTTATTCTGGGATTTATTTACCTTCTATAATTGAAACTTTGTTGCCATCACTGGAGCTGAGAGAGGGCTCCTGCTCGCTCCAGCTCTGAGGCCATGGCCGGCTGAAAGCAGGTGTCTGGGGTTTGTTGCTTTTGGAGCTCAGAGCCGGGCCCCGGCAGGCGGGGAACCTTGGCTTCCTCCATCACTGGAGCAAGCAAGCCTCCTGCTCACTTCAGCTGTGTGGCTGCTGGCCGCCATCTTAGTTGGCAGTTAATTTGCATATCTTGCTGATTAGCCAGTGGGAAGCATAGCGAAGGTACGGTCAATTATCCTTTTTGTCTTTTATTAGATAGGATGTTTCTATCCCTCTCCCTTCCTCTCTCTGAAATCAATAAAAACATATATTTTTTTTAAAAAATCGATGTCTTTGCCCTAGCCGGTTTGGCTCAGTGGAGAGAGGCTCAGTGGAGAGAGCGTCAGCCTGTGGACTGAAGGGTCCCAGGTTCGATTCCAGTTGCGGGCTTGATCCCCAGTAGGGGGTGTGCAGGAGGCAGCTGATCAATGATTCTCATCGTTGATGTTTCTATCTCTCCTTCCTTCCTCTCTGAAATCAATAAAGAAAATTTTTTAAATTTATGTTTCTTTCTCTCTCCCCCTTCCTCTCTCTAAAATAAAATTTAAAGTTATTTTTAGGGGGAAAAATTGACAACCTTCAGCATACAACATACACAATACTACTAGCCTGTGTTTCCTCTTTTGTCATGGACTCCTGACACCTTTGAGCACACACGTCAGTGTTTGAGAACCAGTGGTTGTAAGGAACTTAGAATCTGGTGATGACACACAGAACAGTTAGGATGAGGGTGGCCAGGTTGGAGGGTGGCCGGATTGAGGTATAAAGTAATAGGTAGGACCTTGGTTTGTAGAAATCAAACTAGAAAGAGAATTACAGAAATGTTAGACATCAGCAAACGGTAGGGATTTATGGGATATACAGGGGAGAGATACAATTCATGGGATTTGAAGTTGTGAGACTTAGGAAAGAAGATGAACACCATCTGACAAATTTTAAAAGTTGAGAGAGAGAGCATTCCTCACTAACATTTCAGGGTCTTGAAGCATTGGGGAAGGGAGAGGGCATCTCTTGTCCCTTCAAGAGCAATGCTTTATCTACTTTATATGTGGGGCTCTGGTTCCAAATCCATACATGAAAACAGCTGATGGTCTAGGGCAGGGGTGGGCAAACTTTTTGACTCGAGGGCCACAATGGGTTCTTAAACTGGACTGGAGGGCCGGAACAAAAGCATGGATGGAGTGTTTGTGTGAACTAATATAAATTCAAAGTAAAAATCATTACATAAAAGGGTACGGTCTTTTTTTTTTTTTTTTTTTTTAGTTTTATTCATTTCAAACGGGCCGGATCCGGCCCGCGGGCCGTAGTTTGCCCACGGCTGGTCTAGGGTCAGACAGAATCCTTGTTTGTTCTAAAATTGGGCAAGCTACACAACCTCTCTGAGCCCCTGGATGGTAATAGCTACTTTGTAAAGTTGCTAAAGATTATAAAAGTGGCTGTAAAAATTATACATGCTATACAGAATACAGGAGAAATATAAGATGGTAGCTCTCATATCAAGAGTGGATTGGTGTAGGGAAAGATGGATAATCTAAAATAACACACTTCTAGGTAGTGGAGGGGGAGAAGGCAGTCCTAATATATGGTGACAGAAGATTTGACTTTGGGTGGTGAGCACATGGTACAATATACACATCTTGTAACATAGAAACTCACACCTGAAAGCTGTATGTTCATGTTGACCAATGTCACCCCAATAAAGTTAATTAAAAAAATAACACTGTTCTGGAAGCACTGTCTTTCCTACTCTAGGGCTTAGGAATGCCCCCTTTTGGTTCCACCTATTCTAGCTTTTTCAAGTCCTTGACTTCCCCAAACCATGTTCTTAGCTCTCAAGTCACCTCTGTGTTGACTTTGGTGTAAACTAATTTGGTTCTTCCTTTCCTCTGCCCCTGACAGCATCTGTGGGACCCTCCATTCTGTGGATCAGGTGAGACAAAGCAAGAGCCCAGGACTAGTCTTGGGGAAGGAGGAGGGGAGAGCTTAAGGGTGGGGTACTTGTATCTTGTCTCTAGGGCTAATGATGGTGTTCATCTTCTTTCCTTAGTATCTCAACATCAAACTTACTGACATCAGCGTCACAGACCCTGAGAAATACCCTCACATGGTGAGTGAGGGATGGTGGAAAAGAGCAAGCACCTCTAAACACAGGAGGCCCCTGGGTCTAGAGGACATTTTTAAGAGTGTTTTCACGTTTGCCTACCTTTGTCTAGTTATCAGTGAAGAATTGCTTCATCCGGGGCTCAGTGGTCCGCTATGTGCAGTTGCCTGCAGATGAGGTGGACACGCAGCTACTACAGGATGCAGCGAGGAAGGAGGCCCTGCAGCAGAAACAGTGATGCGACGACTCCACCCCTTTTCTCTTCCATTGGTGATCCTTGACCTGGGGTCCCAGCCCAGGACCCCTCCTTCATACTTGAGATGTTGTGTTTATTGTTTTTCAATATTGAAGGCGCTTTTTTTTTTTTAAAGGGGGTGGGGGGGAGATGAGTAGATGAGAGGACTAATTAGTGGGGAGCAGCCATCCTCGGTGAGAAGGGAAGAGAAGGGAAGGTACGTTGTCTGGGGAACTGCAGTGTTCCTGGTCCCCAGCACCTGCCTTTCCTCCTTCCCCAGAGATGCTGGGAGAATCTAGACCTCTCCGGGGCGGCCTGTGACTCACTTGGGGATGGAAGGACTCTGTCCCGCATCGGGAATAAAGTGTTGGTGCACATTTCTGGTGTGTGTGTGTTTTGGGGAGGAGGCTGGAGGGGGGGGAAGGGATGTTGAACTCCTCAAGCTCCTGCCCTTCATTACCCCGGCCCAGCATGACCTGCCACCGCGCTGGGTAAGCCCAGGCTCCCCGAACGCGCCTCTCCCACAGGCCTTCGCTTGGGCCGCCCCTGCACCGAGTGCCCGCTGCCCGCCCTTCGCCGTGACCGTTGTCAAATGAGACGCCGAGAAGCGGGCACGCTGACGTCTGGCAGATTCATTCAAACTAGTGACCTGTCCGCACTGTGGGGGGCGGCGCCTTCCGCTCCCGCCTCGCCAGCCCCGCTCGCGGCGCCGCTTCCGCCGCCCTCCGGCCGGTGGCGCGAGGACCCGCGCGGGGTGCCCGCGGCGGCGCCTGACGGGAGCGCCCGACCGGAGCGCGGTCCTAGGGCGCCCCCGTCCTGTGCCCGCGCCCGACCGGTGCCCGTGCCCGTGCCCGTGCCCGCGCCTTCCTCCGAGCGCGGGGACGGCGCGCCCCGGGCCGGTATCCGAGGGCGGCGCACACGCAGGCGGGCCCGGCCGCCCACGCCAGGACCCGCGGGCCGGAAGCGCTCGCTGTCACAAAGGGGCCGCACGTGGGTCCCGACGGCTCGGGCGGCGGGCCCAGGAGCCAGGGTCGCCCGGAGAGCTGCCCACCGTCCCGGCCGCCCGACTCCTCGGTCCCGGCCGCCAGGCCGGTCCAGCTTCGGCCGGCGCCGGCTCCGTCCGCCCCCCCCACCCCCCAGTACGTACCTGCGGCCTAAACCTCGTGCTGCTGGATCCTAAGGCGTCCTGTCTCTCTGCTCTCTTTATTTTCTTCATTTTTTTTTATCCTGTTTAATTTAAATAAAAAATACGCGTAAGTTTTGGGTAGTTGTTTCTTTTGATT